GAAGTCGCGGTAGTGCCGGGCGCCAACAGCAGCGCGCGGAGTAGTGCTTTCCTACCTGACCTAGGTAGTCAACCGTAGCGGGAGCAGGTGCAGCAGTAGCAAGTGCAGCGGTGGCAGTAGCAGTGGCAGCCGCAGCCGCCGTCGGCCGCCAAGGCGAGACGGAGGTCTTGGAGGGCCTGGATGGTCACTGGCTCTGGTGGTAAGTGTCAGAGCATAGTGTGACCATATGACGAAGGAGCAACGCATAAGCATTCTTGATTGCCACCGCCGGAGTGTGCTCCGTGGGGCGGCCGAATCGTTCAATTCGTCGCTGAATTGCGGGGCGACCTTAGGTCATCCTGCCTCCGACGACCCTAGTCTCGAGGGGGCCGTTGCCGTACCTGCCGCATCGCAGGTTGTTAGTACTGCCGTACCATACCGTAACAGCACCTTCCGATACCTGTCGTTCCCTCGACCATTCGCCACGAAGAGACGACGATGGCGCGCGTTGGAAGGTAGCGCCGGGCACTTGCCAAGCACGGCAACCAGGGACGGATGCTGGTGTTCCCCTAGCAGCAGGTAGTCGCGGTCAGGTCTCTGCCATCATAGTGCAAAAGGCGGGCAGGCACGCAACCCCGTCAAGCGAGCCGACGGCTTCCTCCTCGAGAGGCGGGCTTCCCCCCTACGGAGGAGACGTCCGGGTCCGCGGGTACTCCTGTGGCACGCGGCAAAGGCAGGCAAAGGCAGGCACGGTCGGCAGGGTAGGCAGGCAGGCAGGCAGGCAGGCCACACACACACACACACACCTGCTGCACAGAAGCACCAACAGGCAGGCAGTTGGCGGGCTGGAAGGTTGGAAGGACGGGAAACACAGCGGGCGACAATGGGAATCCCAGCAAGCCCCCCATCCCATTCATCGCTACTTGAGGACTAGCCCAGTCACTCACCCATCACCCCGCTCCGCATGAGATACCTTACCAATAGCCACGCATCAGGCTCGGAACTCCCCGAGAAAAAGGACAGCAGCATCCTGGCCAAAGGCTGGGCACTGCGCTGCACAATCTGCCTACCTGGGGCCCTACCCACACCAGGGTTGGCGGGTAGGCGCGCTGTGTCCTGGGTCTGCCGCAGGTGTGCTCTGCTCCATCTTGCCCTGTTCTGCCCTGCCCAGACCAACGACCTCTCCCACCTCCGAACGACCGCACCGCGTTCGCCCTGTTCGGCAAACCCAGCCTAACGAGGAAGGGAAAGAAAATCCCTGCCGACCTTGGCCATGGCGGGCTGGCCTGGGCGCGCTGTCAAGTTGGGAAGGCTGCCGCGACTAAACCCACCTCAGCAAAGCCAAACGCCTACCACAGATGGACATACCTTGGCTTGGGAGAATGTGGGGGGGGGGGAAGCTCGCTCGCCCCCTACTCCCTGCTGGTGATCTGATGATGTGAATGTTGGTTGCCGCCGTCGGGTCCGTCCCTGGGGCTGATCTGAAGTTAGGCAGCTAAGGTACCCTTACCGACCTAAGGTAGGTAGGTAGGTACCTACATGGTAGGTGGAAGGATACTTCCAAGGCAATGTCAAGCATGGTGAAGGTTAGGTGAGTACGGTAGCTTGCCATTTGGGCCTGGTCTGTCAACATCCATGGCTGCATCGAAGGCGCCTTTTTTTTTCTTTCTTCTTGTCGCTCTCTGTCCACCTCTCTTGTCCGGTATTCACCTTACCTGCGCCGCCTCGACTCAGCAATCAATGGTACTCGATGCTAGTCTAACTTTACGAACCGAACTTCATGCATCGGCAAACCTCCATCCATACCAGTCGTCATGCCCACACCCACATGCACCGTCACCTACATCCACCAATAGAACCTATACTGACGTCTTATAGGTTCGATGCACCTTTTTCGTCCTTTCCCACCATGCTCACCTCGTGTCTGTCACTCCATTGCCCTGCTCGTCCTGGTGACCTGGCGCTGCCCTGGTGTTGCTCCCTGCTCCCTGCTCCCTGGTGGCCAGCTACTAGTTCGAGCTCATGCAGGTCCCCTATGCATCCCCCCCCCCCCTTCTTTGTAATGTGGTATTTTACCCGGGGTGGCCTACCCCAGCGGGGCTGTCATTGATTTTGCGATCAGACGCACCTGCAGATGCAGATGCCAGTTCCATTGCGACGCTGATGGGACTTGTCACGAACTCACAATGAAAACTTGTCGCCCGCCCTCCTCGCGCGGCTGTTGGCTCGTTCCCTGCCACTCCTCAACAACGTGCCGCGTACCATGGCCATAATGCAACATGCCCTGGCCGCATTCTGATCTACCTGCCATGTTCTGCCTGCATATACTGACATCTGAGCGTTGGTCCCCCCCGCCCCATGGTTCGGCGAGTCCGTCGATTCCCTGACTACCTACCTAGCTACCTTAGTCGAGGTCCGGCCTAGTCCAGACCCATGTACCAGCCTCCTGCTTCTTCCTCAACGATCTGTGTGTGCGTGTGTGTGTGTGTG